ACGGGGGGGGGGGGGCCCCGACACCGTGGTGGCACTGCCGAGACGGGGACAGGGGTGGTGACACTGGTGGCACTGCTGGGACTGGGCGGGGGGGTGATGCGGTGGTGGCACTGCTGGGATGGGGTGGGGGGGTGACACCATGGTGGCACCATTGGGATGGGGTCAGGGAGGTGACGCTGTGGTGACCACTGAGATGGGGACACACACACAGGCACCGTGGTGGCACTGCTGAGATGAGGGGGGCCACACCGTGGTGGCACTGCTGGGACAGGGCAGGGGGTGATGCGGTGGTGGCACTACTGGGATGGAGCTGGAGTGAGGTGACACTGTGGTGGCATTGCTGGGATGGGGCTGAGAGGGGTTGACACCACGGTGGCATTGCTGGATGGAGCTGGGGTGGGGTGATGCCATGGTGTCACCGCTGGCATGGTACAGGGAGGTGACACCAGGGTGGCACCGCTGGGCTGGGGCTGGGGGGTGACATGGTGGTGTCACGTCTGAGACGGTACAGGGAGGTGACACCAGGGTGGCACTGCTTTGATGGGGCTGGGTGGTGACACGGTGATGGCACAGTGGGGTCGGGTCTGTGGGGTGACGCTGTGGTGTCACCGCTGGGATGGTACAGGGAGGTGACACCAGGGTGTCACAGCTGGGCCAGGACTGGGGGTGACGCGGTGGTGGCACAATGGGGTCAGGTCTGTGGGGCGATGCCGCGGTGGCACTGCTGGCACGGAGCAGCGCCAGGGTGAGCTGGCGGTGTCACCGCTGGGCTGGGGCAGGGGTGGTGACACGGTGGTGGCAGAGTGGGGATGGAGCTGTGGGGTGATGCTGCGGTGTCACCGCTGGGATGGTACAGGGAGGTGACACCGTGGTGGCACAGTGGGGATGGAGCTGTGGGGTGATGCTGCGGTGTCACCGCTGGGATGGTACAGGGAGGTGACACGGTGGTGGCACAGTGGGGATGGAGCTGTGGGGTGATGCTGCGGTGTCACCGCTGGGATGGTACAGGGAGGTGACACCAGGGTGTCACAGCTGGGCCAGGACTGGGGGTGACGCGGGGGTGGCACAATGGGGGCAGGTCTGTGGGGGCATGC